TCTCAAAAGCCAAGCCAGACTCACACGCCCCCGCCTGGGGTCCTGGGTGGGGCTTTCCAGCACCCCAAATCAGCATCATAAGCACACAAGATTTTGAAAACTGGCCACAAGGCCCGTCTTGGAGTAGGGAGAAAAATGTGAACTCAATATAGGTCCGTTGCGCACAGGGGAAGCCAGAAATGGAGAGGCGAACCACAATGATGCTGATGATGCAGGTTAGGGGAGCCGGCTCCGGCTTTTTCAGGACCCAAACAAGGAAATCCTTTCTTAGTTTGGGCCAAAAAACAAACAAAACTAACGGGACCTCAATGATGTGATGAGCATCATTAAGTGCGGTAGCCCTCTGCACGTTGAAGTTGCATGATGCCGTCTCCGCACGGCAGCAGGGCCAGCCCGTGCTGCTCGGCATAAAATCGGGCACCGCGCCTCAGTTGCTGCTGCAGGGAATGGCCCTGGCTTCGCCATTGCCCAGACGCCATTGCGGCCGACCCTGCATCATTGGACCTCCGTATCTCCAAGGGGCCCTCCCGGAACTTACTTGCGTTCCGGATGTCTTCCACCCCCCGCTACGGATTGATTTTTCAAGGATCTTGGGACTCCCCAGATCCCCCAAAATAGCATCATTGGCATGGACGTATTTGAATTTTTGCAGGTTGGAGGGATGCTGGGAAGACTGCAGATTGGAGAAACGAGCCTTCAATGATGCCAATGATGCTGGCCCCCTGCGCCAGCATCATCAGCATCATTGGCGGCATGTTTCTCTATGAATGCGCATGGGGCTTGGGGCCCCCACCCCACTCTGTGCGCACCGGCGGACTAAGGGTTTTGGGGTTGCTGAGGGATTTCGTTCCTGTGAGATTTCGTTTTCTGGGGTTTAAGCTTTGCCAGTCAAGGTTTTACAGAGGTTTAGGGTCTAGGATTCGAAATTGTTTAGTTAGCTTTGGGTTGCTTAAAGTTTTTTTGGGTTTGGGGTCTATTTGGGGTTAAGAGTCTGGGTTTGCTGAGGGACTGATTAGCATTTAGGGTTACTTTGGGATTTTTGGGACCTAGGGCTGAGTTTTTTTTTGTTGGCTTGAGGCTAAGGGGGCGCTTATGAGGTTTTAGGCTTTAGGGTTTGGGGTTGCTTAGGATCAACATTCCCCCTAAACTTGTTCTTGGGGTTGTAGGGATTAAAGGTCTGAGAATTTAGGACTCTCTGGGTTGGGTGTGTTTTCAGGGTGAGTGATGTCCTGCTCCGTTGGAATACCGTGAGAGTACCATAAATCAGCCTGCAAGACCATGATTTTTGACCAGGCGACAAGCCGCACAGAGCTAGCAATTAACCTCGGATCTGTTCCTTTTTTGGGAATGCAAATTGCGTGGTCCGGAGGCCTGAAACACTGGCCCCGCCGGTGAATTCCTACTCCTTCGGAATACAGTCTGGGCAAACCATCCAGTCTGTGTAGTACTAGTACTCGCACTAGTAGAAGTAAGAAGATGATACACTGATAAATTCATAGCAAGAGCAATGGCAGCAGCAGCAGCACTAGTGGTGGTGACGGTGGTAGCAGCGGCAGCAATCGCTATCCCTTGGAACAAGATGTAGACATTCACATTTTTGCGGTCCAGCCATGGCCGATGCTTCAGCAGAAATAGCTGAGGCACAGTCAGGGGTTGCAGCTTAGAATGCTGGGTGCAATCTTGGCGTGCGTGTGTGTGTGCACATGCGACGAATGACGAACCCCCGTGGAGTTGACTGTCCCAAATAAGCCGCGCAGGGAAAGGGTTGGAGCAGAGATTGTTGGCCGCAAGGTTGGAGCGCAGAATGGTGTTCTTCGGGTGGGCATCACTTCTGTGCCAAAACCCCGCGCCAGGTTTGATGCATGCTGCAAATCACACTTACGCAAGATCCAGGGCAGCTTTGGCGCCCGACATCGCAAGGGTTCTGAGTGTGGGTGATGGAAGGTGCCAGAACTTCAGCGAAGGGTTGCCAGCACCGAAGATTTCCGGGGTCGAGGGCTGGTCTAGCTATATGCCGCTGTATCCTCTTTCAGCTCTGGAGACTAAGTGAGGAAGCCGTCATCGTCCGAGCCGCGCAGCAGGCGCAGCTCAGCATTGTTGACAGTGGCTGAGCATACACAGGTTCACCTGTTCATTTCAGTCACTTCAACATGTTGACCTCCACGCCGTCGTCACAGGGCAGTCCATAGTTTGGATGCGGAACCCGTCCAGAAAAGGGGCGGTCCACTTGACCAACGTGTGAAACAGGTTGTGCTTCGGCGGCGACACCTAGGATCATCTACGAACGCTTAGACGGACACACGCTTTGCATCTGAAAGAAACCTCTCCCGGACTGGGCTTACTGGCACAATACTGAGTCTGTTTGTCTGCCGTTTCGAACACCACGTGAGCATTCACCCAGCAACAAATAGCAGCAATGTGCAGCATCCTTCTCTTGACTTGGAGCTTGTGTCTTGAGATAAAGAGGTGTCAAACCCACTTGTGCGTGAGGTTTTCTCGAGATGTGCATGAGAGATCATCATGACTCCAGGAACCCTGTTGCTACAAGTTTGGAAAGACCTGCGGATCTTCGCAGCTAATACGATCCTTCTTCGTTCAGCTGCCCACTAAGCCTGTCTCTGTGCCGCCAGCCAGAAAGGAATGCGGGCCCGAACTAAGAGGAAGATGTGGCCATCACCCCAGCTTCAATCATGTCTCCTGAAAGAATTCAGCTGCAGATCTACCCAAAGCTTGCTTCTGGGACGTGTTGCACGGAATCAAGGGAAGTTGGCTTGGTTGGGTTAAGACTTGCTCTTGGAACTCTGAAGTTTGAGGGTGGAGCTGGTGTGACCAGCAGAGATATGGCATTCGGACCTGGAAGGATCGAGAAGGGTTCATCTAAGGTGTTCACAACTTTCAAGTTCACAAGCGCATGAAACCACTAACGTGCCTCCGGGCAAAGCTCTAAACAGATCAGGGCTGAGCAGTCATGTTCAACAACGGACGTAAGACGTGGATGTGTCGAGCGCATGTGCTGCGAGGCCTGCCCTCCTAAACCCACAAGATTACACATGCAATCACCAAAGCCACCTCTCCATCAAAGCGGACTCTTCTATCAGCTTGAGCATCTTGGCTCTGACCTCTGTCACCTGGCTTGAGAATATGTGAAACTTGACTGCACCTTGCCATGTCAAGAACCCCTGCACTGAAATGCAAGAGGCCAGAGTTCAAACGGGTTCACATACTGCTGCTCAAATCATAAACGGGGTCAGCAGGCGCTCAGATGCGCAGCATCGGTTGGCAGCTGCACCCATCTTATTGGAAAATCAAGGAGATGTTCTTGATTGTTAGATCTTTTCAAAACTTCTTGAAGTGCTGGCAGACTTTTCACACGAAGTCACGCGAAAAGACTTTGCCCACCGCTGGAGCCCGACAGCTGGGACAGCTCAGCTCAAGCCGTTAGCAACACCGGCGGAGTGAATGCAGCAACATGCTTTTTGGCGGATTGCACGCGCTTCCTAAAGCATCTTCGTAGGGGTGACACTTGCAAAGCAGCTGTATCGACCTGTGCTGAAATTCAAACAAGAACTACAGAAGCTAAGTTTTCTAGGTGGAAACTGCAGCCAGCTGAATTTGAGCACAGATCTACAAACATGCCTCTCAAGAAGTTGTGGCTGCAGCCTTCTTCTTCAACCTGCACCGACAACATATGAGAATGGCATGAGCAACTTTGCCGGGGCTGGATCAGACTCAGAGCGTCTGGAACCCTCCAAAAACCCCGCTACTCCTAGCACAGCAGCAGTCCTCTGAGTTGCGGTCTTGCGCTTGGCTTCGGCAGTCTCAATTCGCTGCAGCAAACGCTTGTGCTTCTTTGGCATCAATGCCTTAGTTGATTTTGCCAACATGGCCTGACCCCCAAACTTTGGCTGTTTTGCACACCAACTATCACTGGGACAGCATGTATGGATCTTAGACTCCCATTGTGGCGGCACATGTCCAGTAAGATGATTTCGCTTAGGTTTTGCGATGTGCTATTCCTAACCCCAGTGATGCAACAAGTTGCTTTTGCACGTAATCGTTCTTCTTCTGCTTCAGACGGCCTAGATGAATGGCTGGACTCGAGGCCACCAACAAGAAACAGCCTTCGGTGCCTGTGGGCTGGCTTCATATCCGCATCCACCGCCTCTGAAACCTGTCGGCTCAATTTCGCGGTGAAGACGCAGGACCACAGCACCGAAACTTTGCAACACCTGTTGCCTCCTCTCCAGTGGCACTAGCCATATTCTCAGCTGCTTCGTCTTCTCGCTTCTTCTTGAACCTTGCAACAGCTGACTGAGCCAATGAGAAGTAACAACAGATGTGCCTGTGGCAATGCCTGTGTCAAAAAGGCAGCTGATCAAAAAGCAATTGCAGAAAACTGCAAGTGCAGAAAGCAATTCTATCCCGCAACAGCCCCCAGACCCATGTTGGAAAGATGACTGATTGCGTAAATAGGCTGTAGAACCTGGGATCAATCGTGCAAGTAATTTGCACTTTCCTTTTGAAACCACAACAGCAACCAAACCAAGACCTCTGCAGTAAAAGTGATGGGAACGTTCTAACAGCTTTGGCGTAGGTCTCGGCAGAGATTCGAAAAAGTCCGAGATGGCAACGAACTTCATGCTTTGGAATGACACGTGTCAAGCAACTATAAGCAAAAAGGGACAATCAGATTGAAGCTGCACCTCACCTCACAACTTCTAATGTTATCAGCAGTTTCTTGCAAAGGAATGCGGGCACAAAGAGCTGCAGTCGCAACAACAAGCAGCATTGCAACAGCGACGAATCAGACAAACATGGAGAGCAGCTTCAAATCTAAGCAAGGAACTCTGAATGCCAGAGGCCCTCAGATTCTGCTTGCAACTCCTCGACATTCGGGAGGCACGAAGGCTTGCATCAAGCTCAGAGGACTCGAGCAATCAAGAGGCCACGCCTCACCAAATTGCCGCACTCCAGTGCTCACAGGCAAGCTGCTGCCAGTTTCACCTCCATCCTGCAGATCTCGGAATGCCCTCTGCTTCAACACCTACCCAGTACAAGGCCTCTGTCTCCTTTTGGCCGGAAACCTTTCAACAGCACTACATGGTGCTTCTCACCACAACAGCTATGCAGCATCCTCGGCTGCGAAGCGATCCAGGATCTCACGTTGGCGTGGCACGTAGCCCTCCGCTTTGTCCTGGCGCTTCATCCGTGTGTTTGGTTGCCACTCTTACATCCTGATTCACTCTGCAGGCACTTGAGGCAACACCACAACACTCTACGCCCCACTCGGCTCACGTCTAAAACTGTGAAGCGAGGATGGAAGACATCCACAAACGGTGAAAGGTGCGGCGGCCTCGAGCTTCAAGTCTGCCACGGAACAATAAACAAAAAAACTTATGCCCGTTCTGAGCAACCTGCGGTGTACGCCCTGGTGCATAGGGGCCAATTGGCAGCAAGCAGCCTGCGGGTGCCAACCATGACTGCGGGACCCGAGGACCTCCCCTAACTCATCCTGGTTGCGTGCCTATGTTGAAGCAATCGAAAACCCATTGAGGCTGAACATACTCACGGCCTTGGCTTGGTGGAATGGCACGTGATTGTTAGATTGATAGGTTGATGATTGGCAGTTGTAGATATCGCAGAGGCACCTGTGACTCTTCTCGCACTGTACGAGGGCCAGGCCAGGCCGTAATTCAAAAGAGCCGGCTGGCCGATCAACTACGTGGTGCGTAATTGAGTCACCTGGCTGTGCACGAGGCAAACAGGAATCCGAACCGAAATCCAATGCAAAGACGCCTTCCGCAGGGTAGGCTGAACCAGGTCCTGCAGATTCCCCAGCTTGCGCACCTCGTTCCCAGCCGACCTGCATTCATTATCTGCGCGCCAAAGCAGACAGACTTGAACAAGAAGTCAAGAATCTGGCAACGTTGATAAGCAACCGCACCAAAACATGGCCCACCACAAGAAATTCGAAGGACCCACGAGGCTTTTAAACGAAAGCAGAGGGTTGAAGAAGGTCAGAGGAAAATGATGCGTGCGAGACTACAAAATCAGGGATTGACGTCGTTGTTGTGCGAATACATACTCCCGGTCATCTTGGCAGCAACTGTTGTCGTGAAAGGGGAATCATTGATGACCCTATCCGAGCACCAAAGCAAGTATGATCTACAATTGCACTCTTTGTGCTGCAGCTCCCTGGCAGTGAATCATGCGTTGTCAGCTGATTGGAGCCGAGCATATTCTTAACAAACTCCAAGATCAGTGTATCCTTCACACTCAACCTGTCATTTTGGTGGCACTGCCCCTGCACGCAGGTAGCCGATTTAGAGTGCTGGGTTCAGGGCTGTTTGTCGACCAGGGCGTGCTTCAGCATGCTTCAGCTGTTTGGGGGCTTGGGCTTTGGAAAAGGTACCGCCATCATCAGCAGGGCTCACCGTTTCAAGTATTTTGGAGCTTGGTGCTTTTCATGGCTCAGGGGTGTTTGGGGTTTGAGGCAATCTTTGTTAGGGCTTCTTCAGGATACAGACCAGGAATGCCCTACGTCCACGAGAAGCGACACTATGCAGTAAGATCGTTGACAGAAAATGCCTTCGCTGCCAGAGGTCTATTGAACGAAAAATCCATTTCAATTCTCTGCATCTTGAAAGATTAACCTGATTCAGGGGATAGAACGGACGCAAGTGCTGCCAACGGCTTTGTCCGTGGTAAGGAATACTTGGCAGCTGAAGTCTTTCGAAAGCTGTCTTGTACGAGCTGGCAACATTGTAGCCAACTACGGTTGATATGCGTTGTGTTGCTTGCGCCTCCTGCATGCCTTGTCTAACGGTCCGTTAAATGACTAGTCTTCTCATATGGCTGACGCCGTCTCAGTCAGCAACTGTGGCCTCAGCCACTCCGCCACACAGCAGAACGAAGTACAACGGCCTGCACAAGCTGCTGTTGCTTGCATGCAATGTGGCTGCTATCAGAGGTGACAGTGCCCTATCCCTCAGCATGTCCTCAGAGGAACTTCCCGGTTGACGAACACACGAAGACCACGAAAAGTAGTCCTCACATGGTACGTTATGATGAAAACAGAGCATTAAGATGTTGAACCTAGGATTCTGCACCTTGTGGTCGCCTGCAATGCTGGGTTCTGCAGACGTCTTGACAACAACTCGGGTATCCGCCACGGATGGCATGCGAGCAGCAGTTGGGGTTTGAGTCCCAGGGTACCACACATTGCAGATCTGAGTATTCGTCAAAGCGGCGGGTAGCAGATCTCAGTCAGTGGAAGCCTCTTTCCACGTATTCCGTACGCTCTGGAACTTTGCACCTGCTTGCCGGTCACCTCTTGGCTTCAATTTGCGAGAGCGTCCGACGGATTAAGCAGAGAAGGTCGACTTGTCTCATAAAGCAAAGCACGATGTTCAAAACTCGCGACGGCCGAGGTTGATTCAAATCCGTTCCGCACTTCCTGACTGCTGCGATGATGTGGCGAAACCACACTTCACTCTCGACTGCAAAACAACGTCACTTGCGACTGAAAAATCACTTGCGACAAAAAGAGAAGTTAGAGCAAACCCTAGCAGATGTTTCCAAATGTCCCTCTTATCAAAATGAGCCGTACCATCACTTGCAACTAAAAAATCCTTTCCACACCAGATAACCACAGAGAGAACACTTGCAGTTGCCTGTATCTGGTGGGGGTTGGGACATTTTTTTAGTTTGAGGATTGGTGCATCTGGGCTTTAGGATTTTAAGCGTGCTGAGGGGCTTAGAGCCGCGGGTGAAGTATCAAAAAATCTGTATGAGCATCGAAAAAACAGACGCCCAGCGCATCAAAAAAAAATAAGCTTCCAAAAAAATGCACTAAATTTAGTAGGGGCCAGGACAAAAGGCAAGCATCAAAACAAAGCTTTATGCCGTTGACGTCTGGGTAATGGTAGTGGTGGTAGTGCCAGGACAAAAGGCAAGCATCAAAAAAACCCTTATGTCGTTGTAGGGCTTTTTTGGGTTTTGGGTTTTAGGGTTTAGGGTCTTTAGGGTTTAAGGTTTTTAGGGTTTAGGTGTTTTTTGGGGTTTTTAGGGTTTAAGGTTTTTTTTTTGCAGCTGCTCTTTTCCTCGTCGCGGCGGAGACGACCAGTTGGTCAGCCGGTGGCAAACGCACCCAAAAAACACCCCATGGTTCACACTTACGGATCCGCACCAGGGCATTCCTCTATGAGCTTCCACCCCTCAGAAGACGACGTCAGTCACTTACAGGTGCTCCCACTACTATGGGAGACATCAACTCCCTCTGTCATCATCTCGTCCCTGATTCGTTTGTACCATTTTGTACCACTGGAGGCCTGTCTCTCCTAGGCGTTCCCTGATGTCACTGTCACCCAGAACCCCATCAAGCCATAGTTGCAGGTAGTCCATGGGAACCGCCTCACACGTGCCCTCTTCCGCTGTGCCATTGGTCATGTCGGTCCCAAGTTATGCGGAAGCACAGTCTGAAACGAATCTGAGGCCGCTGCTGCCACCGGTGGCTGAAAGCGAACAGCCACGTGAATGGGTCCACCCACTTTTCCAATATCCATGCACGTCTTGGCCAAGGTATTGTGCATCGTGGCGTTTTTATCAGTCACATGCAGGCCCGGTCGGCCTGCCCACTCACCTTCCTCAACTGCTGCTATCTTCCTCTTGTTGTCCACATTTGGTGTGTATTCACCACGTCCAGCAGTTGACCATCATTCTCCGGAAGGCTGCCGAGATGGTCTGCCAGTGTCCCTGCACCCATTCATTGTTGTTCTCCCCCTGGCAGGCGTGGTCCGGTATGAATTCACCCAGTGCCCTGTCCACTAGGCCAACCGCTTGACCCAAATGGGAGACTCGGAAGCGGTAGTAGGCCGACGCGCGCAGCAGCTCTCGTAGTGCCACAGCTCGCCCACATGCTTCCCACGGCTCCATTTGTCGCAGTTGTTTCTTCATGGCTGCCACTTGTGCCGGCAGTGTTGGCATCTGCATTAATGCAGTTTCCTCTTCCTCAGGTTCCTTGCCGTCATCCTGGGGGTCGTCCCTTCTCCAAGCTTGCTGCTGCTCGGCCTGACCCCTGTGGATGGCACGGCTTACCTCTGCAATGAGGAGGGAAACAAGTCTTGCGAATCCCTGAAACATTGCCGTCATGAGCTCCGGGTCTGTGATTATCGTGGCCTGCTGTACGCCGGCTTGGATGCTGTCAGGAAGGGCCTGCATTCCCGGTTCTGAGCCGTCACCCGGGATTTGCAACAGCTGTCTCCACGTTTCCAGCTGGTCTTTGTCCTCCTTACCATCATCCTTTGTTGACTCATCCGCCGCCGCATGGTCAGGCTTGTTCCAGCTTGACGCGGCCGGATGGGCTCCGGAACTTTCAGCCGTCCTCCGTCTTTTTCTCTCATTGCTCCTTATTGGCTTGTCCCAATTTTCCCAGTCAGTCCACTCCTGCTGCCAGCCGCCCCAGTGGGCGTCCTCGTCTTTGGACTTCCAGTCGCAGCGCCAGGAGCTGTCTGAATAGGCCTTGCCGTGGGCTCGCTTGCCATGGTCCATCCATGTTTTTAGGGTTTAGGGTTTTTAGAGTTTTAGGGTTGTGTTTTTAGTGTTTTTAGGGTTTAGGGCTTAGGCGGTTTTAGGGTTTAGTGTTTTTAGGGTTTAGTGCTTTTAGGGTTGAGTTTTTCAGGTTTAGGTAGTTGTATTTTTTAAATGCGTTATTAGGGAGCTTTGAGAGTTTTTACGGTTTAGTGTTTTTAGGTTTTAAGGTTTTCAGGGTTTTGTTTTTTAAGGTTTAGGGTTTTTAGCGTTTAGTGTTTTTTAGGGTTTAGGGTTTTTAGGGTTTAGGGTTTTTAGGGTTTAGGGTTTAGGATGTTTAGGGCTTAGTGCTTTTAATGGTTTTGAGTTTTTAGGGTTTAAGGTTTTCAGGGTTTGGGATTTGTAGGGTTTAGTGTTTTTAGGGTTTATGTGGCTTTTAGGGTTTAGGTGATTTGTAATGTTTAGGTTTTTTTTGCGGGACCCTTTCTCCAAGGCAGATCCTTAAAGATGCCATTCCGGCACGGTCCAGTACAGATGACACGTCAATCGCCTCCAGACGACTCAGACATCAGCCATGCGTCCTCAAGGCACCTTACAGACCCTGCGGAGAGCAGCAAAATGACAGCCCGAGGGAGAGGCAGTAAACCCTAACTCAGAAGCACTAACAACCAAGCAGCACTGTTCAGAGCAACCAGCGCGACAAGCTGGTTTGCCTGCTGCCTGTTAACACTCCTGCACCTTGCGGTTCATGCCCCTCAGTAGTGCTTGCGCCAGCCGACCCTGCCGAAGTGCTCAAAGCACTGGCCGCCGGGTCAGCTCCATCCACGCGAGCACTGGTTGGCTCCACACTCTCCGCATCACCACAACCACCACTGCCAATCATGCCCTGCTCATTCTGCGGCGGCGCGCCCCCTTCATTGGCAGCCTCTTCCGAGCTCTGAATGCACTCCTTTCCCCAGTCATGCTTGCCGTAGAACCGTCCCAGCACTCCGTAGCCAAAGTCGCTACCCACGAAGCGGTCAGTGATCTTGCCGCTTTTCCAGAGCTGGTAGAACCTGTCTGCCATTTCCATCGCCATGAAGTCCTCCACCGGGATATCCTTAGCCACGGACTGGTCATCCTCATTCCAGATGTCCGCTGACAACTCACCAGTGATGGGCAGAGCATTGGCCACCGTTTCCGCGGCAGTGTCACCCTCTACCACTGTGCCTTCCATCTCCTGAGCAGAAGGCATCTCTTCCCTCCTTGTCTCCCCCAAAAATGCAGCAGTAGGGTCTGGTTCATCATTTCTTTCAACAGCCAATTTTCCCGACGGATGATCCTGCCTCCCTCGCCCTGTACCAAGATCTGCACTCTTGCCCTCTTCGATCTTCCATGTAGAAGGTCACCCTGTCCAGATGCCCATGTTTCCCAAGTTCTCCACTCCGCGGCATGGAAGTCATCCCACATGCCTTGTTCTTCCGCCCGCAAAGTTTCCGCCGCTATTTCTTCCATGATTTCATTTTCGAGCGTCTCCTGCTTCTCCGACTCGGTAAGCTCCCTCTGTGTGCCATTTTCGAAGGCAACCATCTGCTTCTTGCTGCCATCTTCCACCGCCTGTTCCTGACTATCAACCACCACGATGGCGCCTGCCGTGGAATTGCTGGGCCTAGGTGGTTCCGGGGCCATCTGTCCAAGCTCCTGCCACACTGCCATGCACCATTGCATCTCGTCCCCCCGAAGTTCCGGCGCGTCACCCTCGAAGACCGCGATCAGAGCACTTAGCCTATCATAGCGTTCCACGAGTTTGGGATTCCGCAAGTGTGGAGCACGCCTTCTTTGGTCTCTCATCAGTTGCCTGAGGAACCCACTGAGGCGTTCGGCTTTGGGCTTTTGAGCATACCGTCCATGTCATTCAGGAGCTTGTGGATCAGCGCTTCGAAGTCCTTCGTGGGGATCAGGACCACGTCGTCGTTCTGCTGCCCGAGCACCTCCTCATCCATTATGTCATTCTCCGTGTCTCCTGCCTCAACCCCTTCTGTCAAGGTCGCATCTGCTTCCGGCGTAATGTACCCTGCACAGTTTGTCAACACAGCCCCTTCCTTGATGACTTCCTCCTTGCGCTGTTCTGCTTTTGTTACCTGCCCGATGTCCCCTTTCTGCGTGTCCAGCGCACGCGGGTCATCTTCAATGGTACCTGTGACAGCGGACAGTTCAAGTACCTGTTTGCCCCAGCGTGCCACTACCATATCATCATCAACTTGCCCTGAGCGCCAGTTCTCGTACCATCTGCGCCCATGCTCAGACTGGAGGAAGTGGCCCAAGTCCTCAGGCACATCCGCCGCCTCCAAGTGTTGGGCAATCTGGTTGTCATGGATCGGAATCGTGTCTGGGGCTGGCGGGCCACACACCACCTGGTCCCCTGGTGGCGCCAGCGTTTGTTGACTCACAGTCATAGTCATCATTGGTGCGGTTGAAGCCGGCATGGTCTCTTCCAACGTCCCTTCTGCGACACCTTCTATTCCCAAGACCATGGTGAGGC